AGTAATTACTGTTGGTTCGGCACCTTGAGAGTCTCTGATGATTTAGAAAATTGAAAGTGCCTCCTATAAGAAACAGGTCTCTATTAATGGCTCCCTGTATGGCATTCCCCATACGTCATGATTCTATCCATTTCAGTCTTTAGACATTCAAATTCATGTTTGTTGTACTGATTATTCAATAATATTTTTGTAACTCTTCCCAAAATTGTGGGGGGAAGTTTTGTGTTTGTTTTTCATAGGAACACTGTTATCTCAAAACTCCTATACGCCTTACTTTATGTGCTATTCTCAGAGGTTAAACTAAAGGTCTTAAATATTATCTGGTGGTGCAAACAGCTTAGCTTCTGAGTGAGAAGCTGAAAATCTGTGATTTGGTATTCTCAGAAATACTAAGTACTTTATGATTTTCCATTGGGAGCTGTAATAGTTTAGTCACTGGTGATTTTTGTGAGATTGAACATAACACTCTATCTGCCAGACCATGCAAGAAAAATGACATGGGAGTAGAATGGAATGTTCTCCTTTCTGATAATAAGGCTGGAAGGTTTTTTATTCTGATGTGGAACGTCCCATTTGTAAGTTATTAGTTACGTGTATGGTTCCTTGTATAGCAAAAAGAGAAGACACTAGAATATTGTTTCTAAGAATGAGCCATAATAATTAAAAGATAGGAAACCATTAATAATGAGAGGTCATATGTGGGAATATTTTTCATTTTCCTTGAAAATATTAGTGAAGAAGCACCACATTAATCTAGAAAGCATGTTAATTTGTTAAATAAAGCATCCTCTGAAGCATTCAAGAGATTCTCTCCCCTTTAGGAAACAAGTACAGAGTTAGAATATTTTGTTGGATAGTAAAAGAGCTGGATAATTCCCTCAGGTTCTCCACATCTTGCTTCCATTAGACTAAAATAATTTCTTTGCTTCGGCCCTATTTCTTGTTTATGTTATGTTTAATGTGCTTTACTTGACTTACACTTCTGTATATGAATTAGCCCTTTAGGAGTACTAATAGAAAGAACCATTCTATTAAGGTCTGTTTGTGTATGGTAATCTAACTTTCTTAGTGTTTACCATTTATATATTTCCTTCTTCCTCTAGCTTCAAAGGAACATTTTGGCATCCAATCCCAGAGTCACAAGATTCCACATTAATTGGGAAGATAACACAGAAAAACTGGAAGATGCAGAGAGCAGTAATCCAAATCTACAATCACTTCTTTCAACAGATGCATTACCTTCAGCATCAAAGGGATGGTCCACATCAGAAAACTCACTAAATGTCATGTTAGAATCCCACATGGACTGCATGTGACCACCTGCCATCCCTATAGTACAAATTAAGCTATAAAAACACACAGAACTATTTCCCTGAAATTCCGTAAGTCCATAGTCAAGATACAATGTGAAGAATTTGTTTAAAAAACATCCTGTAGAAAGTTTATAAGTAAACCAGTATTTGAGCAAATTGTGGAATATAAATACAACTATTTTTAAGTAATTTTTTTCTCTAATGTGTTATTTGTTCTGAAACTAATCTGATTAAAACATATATATTATTTTCTTTTCCTCTATATGTAATTAAAGCACTTATAAAGAAAAATGAATCATTAGACCAGGTTGTAAAGATGTCTTAGCCTCTTGGACAATAATCTTTGGACCACTATTTTACTAATCTTTGAAAGAACAAAGTTAACTTCAACTAAAATGTGTCTTCCTGTGATAACACATAATTTGGTTTGATTTAAGGGGCAAGTTTTCATTCTTTTTACGGCATGCCCTTAAAGAAGGGATTTGAAGTCAACTGTGTGCTACCAAGAACTCTAGGATCTGATTTTCCAGGCCACCTTGAAGCCTCTTATGGCTACTGTTCAGTTCATATAATGTTAGACAGCATTCAGTTTGGTTTCTAAGACAACAAATGTGGTTAATTGTTTATAAGGTCCTCTGGCTATGATTTTTGTTTTTATAACAGTTCGGGACATCAGAACACTCCTTCAATCATACATCATTACCCAGTGAATTCAGCAGGTCAAGAGAAGATACAAACTCCCTAAGTTTAAGAGCAGGAGAGTATAATGACTTCGTTCCGTTCATTAGATTTATAATACTATGAACTTAACTCTTTAAAACTGTTTTGCTAGGTCATCTGTTGCTGGCAGCATTTATATAAAAGCAGTGGATTTGGAAAGATATATTTAGCTTTATCATAATAGATAAGTTACTATTTTGGAACTATATATATTTTCACATGTAGTGCTCTTCTCCATATCCCCTGACACTCATGCACAATAAGATTAGGCATATTTGTGGTGGACATATTTTAGATAGCTTTTCCAGGTAAGTTTTTTAAAAGCAGTCTTGGAAAGGAATGCATTAACTAAATGGGCCAAAAAGTTCTTTTTCATTGATGAGAGCTAGGTCCTTCCTCAAAAAGTTTCTTATGCTCCAGTAAATTAAATGTAGAATATTCTCATTACTCTTGCTGCTAAGCAAGACATTAGCCATATAATGCAGAGTTATGCGGTGCCTTCGTATCTAAAACTTTTATACTGCACTTTTTAAAGCTTATTTTGAGGAAGGGAAAGGGGCATTTGTCTGAGTATGGATTCTAAGTTGTATATATTTCCTGTCATTCTAAAAAGTGACTTTGTGAAGCAAAATTTTGCTAAATGTTAAACTTTGAAATTTAATATACCAGATAATTAAAATACTGTCCACTAACTAGTTCATAGACTTTAAAATACATCCAGCTGTTAAAACAATATGAAGAAAATTTCATTTTTGTCTAACTGCAATTAAAAGAAAATGTTAAAATATTAAAATGAAAATAAAAGTAATACTTTCCAACCAAGAGCTCAGTGATTAATATAACAAGAACACAATATGTGCTTATTAGGAATAAAGCGTATATAAGCCAAATTTCCAAATCAATTCACTGCTGAGTTTTTATTCTGATTAATTATGATTGGTTTGTACTGACATCAAAGGGTTAGGTTTTTATATCAATTTGTAAACCAACAGCCAATTTTCACAAAAGTTTGAGACTTAGAAACTATTATCTCTTATTTAAAACTTTTATGGTTCTATAAGATAATTTTAAAAATTAAAATATTTAGTATTCAGACATTAGGAACTAAGAAACTGTAATGCATAAGTTGTTTTTTATTTTTCCTGTCTAGCTAGATGCTGCCTGAATTACAGCTAGAAAGTTTAGAACTGTTTTTTCCCTTTCTGATCACAGTAAATAGCTGTGTCTGAGAAGATAAACATGAACAAATTAGTTATGCCACAGAAGAGATAGGCGCGTAGGCTGGAGGGAATGAGGATATCATTTGAGCTGGGAAAACAAGCAGAAGTCTGGGAAACGTGCATGCATTCGTTCATTTATAACCTTATACAACCGTAGGCTTCCATGTGGTCTTACCCTTAGGTGTGGGGTTTCTAGTTTTACCAAGAAAGCCTGTGGCAGCAGTTTTCAAAACTATGTAATCCATGGTAAAAAATTTAAATATGACCTGATAACACAGATATGTATTTATATTAACAATTTTCATGAAAATGTGCCCTTAATAGTGCACCTTTACTGTGTGCACTAGTATATTCTAGTATCTTTTATTTTGAAAGTGCTGGTTTTGACCCACTGAAATAACTTTTTATGACCCTCTAATGGATTGTGATACAGTTTAAAGAAAGGCTAGTCTGGCCCTTTGGGTAGACGAGAAGTAGCAATAACTTTTCTACAGTTCTAAAATTTATATTCCCTCTACCTGTCATTTCTTTCATATTCGGATTATGAATTTGGCAATAAGAAAAAGAAGGCAAAGGGCTAACACAGTGAATTCATCAGCCATTCACTTTAAAACTGTCCAAATACTCTGAAGTTACTAATAGTCCACAAATTGGACTCATTTCTTGACACTCCGTATAATTAACTTAGGAAACATTCCACATTGTTACTCGGGAAACACCTTTATTTGTTTGTTGTTAACATCATTTAATACAGAACTCTAGAACACTGGGTCATAACAATTTTAAAATGCACATGAAGTGTTCATATATTCTTGCCTCCAGTATCCTAAAGCTTGTCTACGCCTCTCAATCCATAAATCCCTTCTTATCAGTGCTTAATATACTGTTTAGTTATATTTCAAAACCTAAGAGTCCCTTAAAATGGGGCTCTTGTTACATAGGACCATTAATGGAGCATTTGCTGTTTTATGATAAGTTTTCGACTATAAGCTTCTCATAAGATATCTGAGCACAAGCCACGGACAGTAGGCATCCCTAACAAGTAACAAATAACATTTTTAAAATGTGTGAAACCAAAGGCCTATTATAGGAGAATAGGAGAAATATTTCCCCAATCAAAACAGTGTAAAAATTCAAAATGGCATCAAAACATGTTTTTTAAAATAATTTTTTCCTGAAGTCACTTTATAATCAAATCTTGACATATCAGCAAAGGCTTTAAATATATTTGTTGAAGAATCATGTGAATGAAGCTACACGTTGCAATGATGAAAGTACGCTTTCCACATACTAAGACAAATTTTCTACCTAAGAATTTTCAGTAGGAATTACTGTTGCCCATGAGATCCATGAGCATGAAAATGTCTTAAGCTTTATGCCAGCTATGTACTTTTATGAAGTGAGATGTTTCCCCCTATTAATTTCAACACTGTTTGCTGGGTCTTCACAGAATAACAGATGCTGCATAAACAAGTTTGAAAGTAATCAGAGAATGAGAAAATTGAATAGGATCATTCAAAACTAAGATACAAAAAGATATATGGAATAAGCTTTTGGAAAATAAGCGAAGGTGGAGGTTTTAAAATATTTTCTTGGAGCTACAAAAGTAATGCTACATATTAGGTTTTTGGCAGTAACTCAAAAATCTTGAAATGTATCCTGTTATAGGTACTTTTTCACAAGAAAGCAACCATTGTGTTAGCTTCTGCAGTAACATTAAAATAATTGAAATTGTCACATAAAATACCTGCACTAGTAGATCCAATTCCTGTGGTCAGCACAGACCTTGGTGTAATTTTTGCTGCATATTTGAGGAATTGAGATTTCCCTGTGCCAGGATCCCCAACCAATAAAAGATGAGATTCACCTAGAAAAATGTTAATAATGTAGTTTTAAATTTCTATGAAAAGACTCGTAAGTGTGATTAATCAAAGAAAATGGTCCTCTTGGGATGCCCACACAATTTATATTTTATATGGTGCTTTTGCTTAAGGTCATTCAAGGAGGGATTTAACCAGAATATCTTAGAAAAGTTGACTTTCAAGGTAAATAACAATCTTTTAATTGATTTCTGAATACCATTTAAAATTAAATTTTTTAACAGATTTTTGTGCTATTTCCAGATGTTTAAGACTGTTTAACATTTAAAAAAATTTTGGCTTATAAAGTTTCTGATTTTATTTAATCTATTTTAAATATCAAAATACTGTGATTAAATCTTTCCATCCCACCATATAAGTATTCTATTTTTATTTAAGTATTTTTAAGTGTCTGGGACTTTATAAGTGCTTTATAAATACCAAATCACTTATGATTCTAACAGTTAAGTGAAAACCTTTTCATTCTAGGAAAATTTTAGTAGTTTAATGAAATATCTATCTTAAAGTACTCTTATTTTTCAAACATAACATAGATGAACATATGAACATCCTGCAGCATATGTTTGTGATTGTACTGATCAAGCAAATTTATTCAGTAATATTCAAGGATTTTCTGAGTACATTAATAGGGAAATACTATATAAGCTCAACATTTAGCAGAAGGCCTTGCAAACAGTAGGTAATCAAAACATACAATACACATAAACCTTATTATACTTACTATTCTATACTGTACAGTATGGTTTTTGAGTCCCTACTAACAGTCTGATTTACAATAATGTCCTTTTAGTCTTTCGGTTAAGCCTTTGGTTATGACCCTCATATTGCCTATATGAGGGCCGTAATAAACCTAGTTTATGCCACAAAAGAGCTTTCTGCCATTTGGATGTAATTACACACTTAGAGTAATTTTTGCTGGAATGCATGACCTATGGCAGCACCTCTTGGCAGATGGCACGTTTGCTACCCACCAGCAGAAGGGGAACCAGCAGGCAGATGACTGAGAGCAGCAGTCTGAGGCAAACACACTGACAGTCACAGATGGAGAGACACTGACTTGGAGACATTAAAAAGCACTATTTCTAATCTTTTCCTCTTGGAGAGAGACTGGGGATCCAATGAAAAACACAGACAGTAAAAGAAATGTAAAGATTTTATTTTGTGGCACCCTGATAGGCTGGAGCAAAAATATATACTCATTGAAAGTCTCTGGAAAGACTGGTATTCTACACAGTAGTTCCTGATGCTGGACTGAGTATTACATAGTGAACAACTGTCAGTTTTAAAAGATTACATTTGGAAAATAAAGCTCAATAAGCAATTTTTATTCAGGAAAGAAAAATTCTAGCTTCTCTTCTTACTCTGTGTGTTAATATTTCTCAAAAATTTTAAATGGGTACTAACCTCTGACCCGTGTTCCTGTAGCATCGGTCCTTTGAATCCCACCAGCCAGCACCAGGGCCACAGCAAGCTTTACTAGGTACATTCCAAAAACTTGAGGGCACAAGCTAGCCAATATTTCATTCCTTCCTGGGAAAGGCAGAAAGATGAGTTACCAATAATTTTCAAGAAATCCTAGCTGAAATTTCCCTTTCTATCCTATCTTCTTAGAAACACTCTATGCTCTAAAATGATCAAGGGTACCATTTCCAAATGACTAAAAGGAGTGAATAACTTTGTTTTGGTCCTAAAAGTCCTTTTCTCATTATAATGCCATGAGATGAAAATTCTTTTTATTCCTGGGTGCTACCTGTTTGTTTCTATAAATTTAGCATACTTTACAAGGGACAGAAAGAAATCTCTTTTCTCCCTCATTGGACCAACATTATCCCTTAAAAATAATACCAGCTGCACTTCTTGTGCAATAATTTCAGTAAAATTACTCCACTGCCTAAATAAAAGGAAGGTGTTCCATCTCAGAAACAATGAGACAGATTGTAGAAGCCTGTAATCTTTAAATACAAAAGGTACTTGGAGCTCACGGAGCTTCTCCAGAGGTATAAGAGAGGTAAAATCAACCCATCCTGCAAGTCAATTCAGCATTTGCTCTGAGCAGTTTGGTAAATTGTCTTATCTAGACTAAGCATCAATGTATCAGGATATTTAGAAGATCATTATAAACGACAACTCTAGCAATCTAAGCTGGAGGTCTTAGGATTCTTCTGATAACATGCTTTAAATAAGTGATTACCACGGTTTTAGGTTCTGTTTTCAGAAATATCAAACACCAAATCTGAGATCTGCCTATGCCATCAATTAATAAAGTAGGTATTTCATTCTGTCATTGGCCAATCAACCAATGAGGCCCATAGAATTTACGAGACTCTAACAAGCCCCTATGGAGTCTGTCTTATAACGGAATTCACTACTGTGATGGTACTCTGTATGTCTGCATTCAAGTTACCAGAAATTAATCTCCACATGCTGGTAACTAATCTGCACATTTGAGGGCTTTTATATTTAACTCTGAGCTTGTAAATGAGCATTGTAACTCATGTTTCAATGATAGCTCTTTTGAGGAGGAAAACAATCATACAAGTACTACTTTAGCTGATGATTCCAGTTCCAGAAGCTTTTCCATCAAGATAAAGGCCTTCCTCCATAATTTGTGTCCCTATGCACAAAGGCTTTGGTAATGAATCAAAATTGACTCAGCGGCAATTAAGCTATGGTGATGTGACCTGGGATGGCAGAAATGGTTAAGAAAGAAAACATTTTAGTAAAAAGGGAACCAAAAAGAAGAATTAGTAAATCCTGGAAGGAAGTTCATTAACTGCTGGAGAGAATCCCTCCTTTCCGGAGGTAGAAAGTCTAGAGAAAAAAGATGAAAGGTCTGAGATCTACATAGTTAAGACCCGACAGCAGGTATGTAAATTCTGACCAGAATCTGGAGATTACACATACAAAGAAAGAAAGAAAAGCCTCAACAAGCAGGGAACAAGTAGGCAAACTGACCTGGAAGACACTCAAGCCGGAGCTGTTAAAGAGCCAGCTTTTTCAGTAAAGGTGGATTCAGTGACTAATGTGCTGACAGGAAGCACAACCCACAGGCTCTGGTGGCAGAGCCCAGTGCTACTGTTTACTAGCTGTCCGACCTTGGGCAGGTTTCTTACTCTCTCCACCTCCATTTCCTTATCTGTGAAATGGAGATAATGATGGTATCTCGTAGGGTTGTTAAGGAGCTAACAGGTACACAGCACACAGAATAGTATCTGGCACATAGTAGGAGCTACTTACTTGTTAACTATTATATTACCTGTACTACTTGTGCTTATTTCTCATCTCAAGGTTTCCTCACACTGTGGTCAACACAAAAGATACACTCTGAAGTCAGGTCTGAGGTACCAGAGAAAAGCACAGGGGAAGGTCCATTCCCTAAATTTGTTATCTAAAGTTGAAAAACTTGATTCCTTGGGTCATGGCAATAAAAGCTCCCATGACTATATCATGGAAGAGAATGCATTAGGGTGAATACTACCCCATTCCTTCCCTCCCTCCCTCTCAAATTTCTGGTTCTAGACCATGTTAATAGTGTGCCCATGTAATCCACTCTTGTGGCATGGCCTTCAGTTACCCCAAGGAAGAGAACTTCTAGGATTTAAGATAAATGAGTCACCCTGGAGGGGGTTGAGATGGCCCAGAAGACCCCAACCCCTACGTTTGGGTTTCTATCCAGCCTCTATGCATCAGGGCCAGGGGATCCCTGAGATCAGTGTAGATCAGAAGAAAATCTTTAGCTCCTCGTCAATACTCACAGCACCAGAGCTTAATGAAGCAGGCCAACCTCCCAGAGCTGAGCAGTGAAGTCATCTCTGGCTTTAGACCAGCAAAATGAAGACACACTTTTGGATGCAGCTCCCCACCTCCACCCTCCTCCCCACACCCCCCAACACACACACATACACTTTGAAATAGTAAAATATAGTGGGCTGATAATTGGTACTTAGGAAATGAAAAAAGCAGAATCTGTTCATACTAAAAAGAAAATAGTTGCCTCGTTTTCTCCCTGTCTTCTCACAGAATATTATATTTATTTCTTCTTTTCATCCAGTAAATGAGATGTATAGCTATAGCCTTCTAATTAAAACAAAACAGACTAATCACCAGCACAGAGAACTTCTGACGGCCTAGCTGGAACACTGTATGATGCCCTTCCTTCACTGTTACTAGGTGGAGTGTAGCTGTGGCACTGGAATTAATAAGGAATGATTATGATCCAAGGAAGAGTTACAGATTTTTGTGAGGATTTGAGCCTAAGAAACAATTTTAAGTAAAAAAACTTATTTAAAAATACATATGATTCTTAAAAGGTTTGCTTAATAAAGCCACAACATAGAGACCTTTGCTTCTTTCTGTGTGGATCAAATAAAAGAATGATCCGTAACTACCATACTCGTGTTACACACATAAGCAAAAAAAAAAAAAAAAAAAAAATCATCCCACAAAATAAAAGCAAACTGCCTATATTTAGGCAAGTGAAAGCCTTTTCTTTAATTAATTAATTTTTATTTCATTGAGCCACGCGGCATGGGGGATCTTAGTTCCCCAACCAGGGGTCAAACCCACGTCCCCTGCATTGGAAGCATGGAGTCTTAACCGCTGGACCACCAGGAAAGTCCCCAAAAGTCTTTTTTTGTGAAATAATATCTGTCCAGTTCAGCATGTGATTTAAGAACAAAGTAATCACTGTGTATTAGATTTGAGGTGAGGTTTATCAGAAATAGTCTTTTACTGGCTTCCGTTTATTTTTCTCAGAAGATGCCTCCAAGGAAGAATGAAAATAGGCATTTGAAGATTTAATTGGTGTTTTATACATTTGGGATTTTTAAATAAAAAATACAAACCCAATGGCTATAATGTTTTAATCTGTGTAATGACATCTTAGTGTCAGTCAAAATTTTTTGCTGTGATGGCAAAGCTTATTTTTTGCATCTCTTTCCTACTTCATATTTTTAAATCTTCAGCTAAAACTGTGTGAAGCTGTCTTAACTGTATAAGATACATCAGAAAAGAAATGGTTTTAATAGGATGAAGTTTCATAATAGGATGAGTTTTGCCTATTTAAGGCAGAACTATGTATTTAATTGGTAAAGAAGGTAGAAAGCTCTGAAACTATTTTGGCAATATAAGAGATGTTAAAATAATAGTTGGAAATGGAAAATCTCTTGGAATTTCCAGTAAGATCTCTAAATAGAAAAGATTTAACCAGAAAAGGGCCGCAAAGGGAGACTATAGCTAGAGGTACTGACTAACGCTACTCCCTTTGAACACAGTCACTGATACATAGCATGTAAATCACAAACATTATATTTAACTAATGAATAAAATGCCGTTAATAATTATCAGCTCTATACCCTTAACACAAACCTGCAAAAGGATCGCTCTTATAGTATTCCCAAAAATCTTCAAATTCTTTTCGGACCTCCTCATCCATGTTGATCCCTGCAGACTGCTCATTATTTACTTGGACGTAATTGGCTTTCAGGACTATCTCCACTTCACAGCGCACATCTTGCTGAAAGGGCTTCCACCGTTGCATTACAACCCCATAAATAGTGAGGTCATCACCTGGGACAAAGCACCGAGTGAATCCAGCAGTAGCATCCTGCCTGCTTGGGCACAAACTCGACAAAGGACCAGAACCAAGAAATAAACCACTAACCCACCATGGTTTAGAGTAGTACACATTCTTCCAGAAACCATTTGGGGCAAAAGAACACCACAGAGTCCTGATTTTTTTTTTTTTTTTTAAACAGGCACTTGTATTTGCACGGCTAAAAGCTAAAGCCAGCATTTTCATTTTTCTTAATCTGCCACATGATAATCACACCAAATTCTAAACGTTCCCTGGGAAAATAGTTTACTGGATGATTTATTCATCATGATTATATTGGGAGAAATGTTCATCCTCTCAGAACCTCTAACCATATAGTTCTCACTTAAAGAAGAGGTGGGAATTACAGCCAAAAGGTTAAAGTGCAGTCTGCCCTCAGTATCTGCAGGGGATTGGTTCCAGAACACACTTCAGATGCCAAAATCCATGGATGCTCAAGTCCACAGTCAGCCCTCTGAATCTGAGGTTCCGCATCCACAGATTCAAGCAACCATGGATCGTGTAGTGCTGTAGTATTTACTATTGAAAAAAATCCGTGTATAAACGGACCCACAAAGTTCAAACCCATGTTGTTCAAGGGTCAACTGCATAATCAATTTGTTGTCAGGAAAGGAGACAATCTTGTGATAATGGATACTATACTAGTTTTAGTTTCTTGTATATTTCATTTTTACTTAACTGCATTTGTTAACATTCACTCACTGCCTTTTTTTTTTTAATGAACAGAAGAATGAGTGCACTAAGAAATGAATGAATACTTGTCCTACTTTAAAGCTCCTTTCCATAAGCTATGAAAGCAGAAGATACAACTCTGCTTGTTCTTCCTTGGTTGGTTCCTTCCCATCTAAGAAAACTCTCCCATTCCTAATTGATGGGTAGAATATTAAACTTTTACAGATTTTCCTAAGAGGCCTTGGGTAACTTATAGGTACAATGACAACTGTTTTTATTATTACATACCATTCAATTAACGAGTATAGGTGAGTGCTTGGCATTCGATATTTTGGTACTGGAGAAAAGGGGGCAAAAAAGGAAAGATAATCCTAGTCCCCCAGATTTCAATCTTCTTGAACATAGGATGTTGGACATACCTTAAATCCAATCCTAGTATTTATACTCTGAACTAACAGGCAAGTCTTCATTTCCAAGCCTATGTCAAATATATGATATCTGCTGATACGAAATGCCTTTCACTCTCTAAATGTTAATGTATAACGTGTAATCTGCAGGGCTTTTGATTTCCTGAAGAAAAATGTTCTGTGAATGCTAAATGCATGGAACTGGTGGTAGCAATTCACCGAATAGAAGGCATATTTCCAGCCAACGGCAGCTTCACAGTAAATGGTGATGAACACATTAAATCTTCACACATTTTCAAGATACTTCCTCAACCACTGCTGGATGGTTTTCAAATCCAATCAGGAATAGTGATCATTTACTATATTGTCTTGCCCCCTGTTTTTTAGGGCAACTTTATATGAGCACTTCAAAGAATACTACGGTCATTTTAATGGGTTATATATAGGTTGTTTCTACATTAAGTCAAATGAGAAATTTAACTTTCAGGTATTGCACCCACTAGTAATAACCTGACTTTACTAAGCAGCAGTAATGTGGAAAATGTGAAGTACTCAAGAATGGACAAGAGCACTGACTCATCAGATGTGGACTCAAATCCCAGCTCCACCACTCACCGGCTGTGTGGCAAGCTACCTAATAAACTGAGCTTATTTCTTGACCTACAAAATGGGAATAATTATACTTACAACATAGAACTATAGTGAGAATTGGGTCAGATAATATATATAAGTACTTCATGCAATATCTAGAATACATGCTCAATAAATATTAGCTATTATTATAGTAAACCTACTTTACATTTGTAAAGCAACTAATACCATTAAACACCCTTTAATATATACATGTTTTCATTTACTCAGATATTTGAGAGACAGATTCATATGATCATCAGAACAATTGTGAGGTATACATGATAGTCCAAGGCAATGGATACCAATTTGAAACTTGCATGTTTTTCCATAGTAAATGTTACTGGAAAAAATGTTACTTTCAGAAATCTAAAATTCTTACTTTTACAATCCAATCTCTTTGTCCCCTCTATCTTCTGCAGCATATTTACCACTGCAGCCACCCTGGTCAGACCCATCTTTGATCTCCTGCAGCACTTAACAGTTATCAGTACACAACCTCAAACTTTATTACTCTGCAACGTCAGACTGGGGTTCCTAACTAGACTGTAAATTCCTGAAGGGCAAGGATTATGCCATTTATGTCTTCTGATTCTCACAGAGGTTTGTAGCAATGGATAAATGAAAGATAGCTGATGACAGATTGCTTCCATCCATTCTCTATTGTTAGTGACATGTAAAAGAAAAATAGCTTAAGATTTTTTTTTTTAAGTGCAGAAAGAATTCAGTTTAGATGAACTGCATGAAAACATCTTAATCTCTATCAAAGGACATTTTCATGTTCTGGCTAAGCTCATACAAGCCCTGCTTTGCTGATCCAGACATTACAGATTCTGTTTAAAATCTAGAGTCTTATATGAACAAGGTACTTTGACACAGCCTTGTCCATTTAGCAGGCAAACCATAATCAAGGCTGTTATTTACTTAGAATACTGTTTAGACAAGTATGAACTGTTAATATATTTGACATAAATTTCAAACTATGGGTTGGTGATTCTTGGTGGAAGGGGAGAATATTTTGAGAAGGAATTATTCTTGACTCTAGATACTGAACTCTGTTTCCATAGAGCCTTTGCCTCATCATTTTAATGAAACGGCAGCTCAGTAAAAATGAGGCATTTGGAGAAGCTTAGAGTTAAGAAAAGGAAATGATGGAATTTAGAGACATAAAGCATTTTCGACTTGTCCAGTAGGGGAGCACTGGGATATGAAATAAGAGGTCAGACATACCTGTTACTGCCCAGGGGACACACTGGTGCTAGTTTTTTTTTTTTTTTTTTAATAGAGATTAAGGGGTTCTTAGTGAGGGTGGGAAATATTTAAAGCAGGAAATGTTGAAGTTAGTTGAAAGGCAATCGTTGACAACAATCATTTGCATTTTCTGACCTACCTTCAATTTAAATTAAATGTTAAACAGCCAGTGGAAATTGCTAGGCAAACAGTAAAAGCAACAGTTTTTAAGTTGTTTGGAATAAGAGGAGGAAACACAAAGGATAAGCTCTCATGGGCAAATCATGTTCTTCATCTGTAAAACAAGCAGCTAGACTAGATCGCTGAACTCCAGCTTCTTTCCTGCTATTACCTACCTCCTCATGCCAGTCTCTGTTCTCAAGTTCCCCACACTCACTTGCCAGTGATCTTGGGAAAATAAAAAGTGGCTTTTCCTAGTCAATACTTTAGGACCTACGATATAAGCTAGCATTCTCACCAGATTTGCAACTGTCTACTAAGTCATCTTCCAGGATAACCTTCATTGTTCGTGGGATACTTCCAACAGATAGCCTTTGAACCTAGCAAGGAAAAGAAAGCAGACACTGAGTATGCTCAGATACATACTAAGTATTCAGAAGCCTAGCAGTTCTTGAAATTACTGTTTCTATTTCTCTGGTATTATCACACAATTTAATTACGATGGGGATTTATGGAATTTTCTTGAAACTTGTGCCTACTATCAGTTTAAGAATTCACTAAAACTACAATAAAAACATCCATATGGAAAATATCTCAAAATATAATCTACCCTGTGGATGGTCAAAATAAACACATGCTCCAACTACTAAACAGGGGTAACATTTACTTAACTAGAAAAGAGAGGCAGTTCTTTCCTGCATCTAGTCATAAGACAAATCACTCGGTTCCTCTGATTATTTCTTAGTAACAGATTACAAATGTGTTCCCTAGTCCTGGCAATTTACCCATAGATGAAAAACACTTCTTCTAATTTGTTATTTTTTGCATTTATTTGATCACTTACCTGTTCCTGAATTTTGATTTCCTGATAATCTCTACACCTAGCTGGAGATGAAGACAAGTCTGAGAGGCAAGTGAATTTTGCAGAATCACAGCTCTCCAAGCTGGGACATGAGGATGGCCGACAGAAGGTATAATACTGCTCAAAGTCAGCCCTGACCACAAATACATGCTTGCATTTCTTACACATGTAATCCCGCTCAAACTCCAGGATCTTCACCAGACTCGTTCGAATCACTGTCCCAGTGACAGATAAAAAGTGTCCCACATCCTTGGTTCTAGGGATATGCTCCCTCACCAGCTCAGGACAAACAGGCAATCCTGATGGAGAAACAAAACAAAAACACATCAACTTCTACTTGGGATTTGACTCCATGCAATACATTTTTCTCATATTTCCTGAGGGAGAAAGTATAATTTCAGGAAAAAGAAATCTTTGTGTTTTACTTAAGAAAAAAGATCAACTCAAGAAAATATAAAAGAATTATTTCAAATAACCATTATCAATGGATTCTCTTTAAAAGTACGTATCTAGATGATATATTGATAATAACCTGGATTAAAAAAAGAATTGATTCTCTTAAGAGGGCTATCTCAGTAGGATGTAAATGCAGTATATAATTTTAATCTCATTCAATGAAGAATATACTGCCACATGCCACACATAAAATCAAAGCTGAGTGATAAAGAGTTGGTAGTGGAATGAACAAAGGCTAGGGCTTTTTCTAGTTAGGTTCAGGATTTATTAATACATAAATCGGATAGTGTTTTCAAGTCTTGAATTACCTAGAGGTTTACCTACAGCACCACTTCATCCTTTAAAAACCTTGTGTTTTTCATCATTAACAAACAGGCAACTTAAAAGGTGCAAAATGCCAAAGAAAATTCTTATGTGGAAATGCCCTCTTTCTCATATTTGGCTACAAGGCACCACTGGAGTAGAGAGATGCTGCCTGTGATGGTCAAAGGCTGCCTCCTAACAGGTTTATCAAGGGAGCATTTGTTATACTGGTTCATGTCCCGTGGTCTCTGGTCTTGTCCTTGAACTTAGCTCTGAAACCTGATAAGCATGAACACTGAAGACAGATATATTGGATTTGCCAAGCTCATAAGAAATAACCATAATAGGTGTGATTACACTTTAAGTTTCTATGGTCAGAACATTTTCTCCCTGTTTATAGATCTATTCTGAAAGCCAAATCATTATAATCACTGTCGTCATCACTGTCATCAGAAGGCAGTTTGGGATGCAAGGAATTTAAGGAAAAAAAAAAAAAGCAGCAGATTGGTTAGATGAACTGAATGTTTAAGGCGCCAGGCTGCATTAATCTGGTGATACAGCTTAGACGTCTACAGACAGACCTGAATTTTCTCTGCTGCTGGCTGAGACTCTCTCTCCATATAACCTATACTGTATAAATAGGGTGGGCACTGCAACATTTGCCACTATGACTCCTTTTTCTATGCTTCCAAGGCTGACTTGCCTGCTTTCTAATGGAAATACTCTTTATTTATATTAACTTGGATTGTATCACACTTTGCCAGTAAGGGAGCCATACTTTTGCTTACGATGATTTTGTGTATCTCTGCTCTGTTCTGTGTCAACTTTACAGTTTAACTATCAGAAAACAAACTTATTTTCCTATTTCCAAATTCCTAGGGAATGCTTCATTCAAACACCCTGGGCCTCACCAGTGCTACATCATCTGTGCAGGAATAGATAGAGAGGTTGGGGCAGGAATAAAGCAGGTTTTATGCATTAAAATATCCACTGTATTCATTTCTCCGTGCTCATCTCAGGCGTCTGTTAATTCAGCTGCATGTAGCTAAATGTTGAGAACACACCAATATTTCTAGTTACAACCAAGTAAAAGCCAAACTAACAACCAAAAGCTTTTCATTAAGAACAGGTCTAGTCCTTATATCCTCACTGCTTATGTTTCAGGGGTACAATGTCCTCTTTTAGTTCCCATCCTAGAATGTTAAGAAACAAAAAACCACCAAGTGGAGATGTCTCTTCTTACTTGGCCTTAATTTGATGTACATTATGGCAACACATGTTCACAACACTTGCATATTCTCAATTACCTTTTTCTTGCTCCCCACATGAATGCTTTTTAAAAATTAGGATATAATTTAGGTACAATAAATTTGCCTTTTTGAAGTATATAATTCAGTGGTTATTAGTACATTCACAAGGTTATACAATCATCACCACTATCTAATTCCAAAATATTTTCACTGCTTCAAAAAGAAACCCTGTTCGCAGTAGCAGACAGTCTCTAGACCCGCTCCCCTGAGCCTCTGGCAACCACTAAGCTACTCTATGTCTCTACGGATTTATCTATTCTGGACATTTCATGTAAATGGAATCATAAAATATGCACCCTTTTGTGTCTGGCTTCTTTTACTTAGTATACATTTTGAAGATTCACCCATGTTGTAACACGTATCAGTTCTTTGTTCCTTTTTATGGCTGAATATTCCAGTGTATGGATATACCACATTTTGTTTATACATTCATCAGTTGATGGACATTTGGGTTGTTTACATTTTTCTCCTATTATGAATAATGTTACTACAAACATTTATGTGCAAGTTTTTATTTGAATACCCGTTTTCAATTACCTTGGGCATACACCTAGGAGTAGGATTGCTGGGTTGAATATACTTTTTATAATAATTTTAATTTTTAAGTTTTCAAAGAATCACTAAGCGTTCTCTATTTTAAGCATATAAAAGGATACTCAAGTGGGAAACAGGATTAATAACCCAATTTGCTTCTTAAAGTATAAACGAAATCTATCAAAATTACTTCTGAGAAAGATGAGCAAAGTGAGGAGAATAGGAAAAGAAAGTGATGGGTCAGAGAACTGAACAACAATTATATTTTTGAAAACACTTAGATGTTTGAAACATCCATTCTCTCTTTCTTGGCTCCTAAAGAAATAACACTTTTCATCCCATTTCTACTCCTCTCACTCCTAGCTCTGCTTCAGATGCAAATTGATTGTTCAGTTTAAATTCTACTGTCAATATATTAAAACTTAAGAAAAACTAAGATCACAAGAAGTGGGTTACGGAGAGTGCTATGTTACTCCAATGCCAGGCACAGAGCAGAATGCCCAGTGAAACAGACTGCCCAGTGTAATTCAGCAGACTCTGGATGTTCAATATGATGAAGTCATACATATAACGAGTGAGGTCTTAACATAATCATTTAGTTAGATGCTTGCTATTTTTGTCCTAAAAACAAACTTCAGCTTAAAAATGAAGCTATGCATAATTCTATTGTAGTTTTTTCCTAAAAAGCTACTTTTAAATTGATTCTGTGTCTTACTCTGAAGAGCATCTTCAAGGGGAAGAGTGAAACGCCACATTCCCTGGTGCTTCTATAGTAAAATCCAGGCAAGAAATAACGAAGGCCTAACTTTTCATCTCCTCCACTTAAGCCCTTCCACGCTGCTCCCAGATCTAAGAATAAGGAACCAAATGTGGGACTGGACCACAGGACGTTTTGTGACGGGCTTCTTCTCACACCAAGCCCTCTGGGCACTCAAATGCTCTCATACAGTGTCCCCTTTGCCTGACTCTCTCCTCCCTACTCTGTCCCTCCAAAATACCCACACTAAGAAGCAGCATAAGCGTTCAGAATACACACTGTGGAGCCCGAATGAGTGAGTTGAGTCACAGCTCTATCACGCACTAGCTGTGTGACCTTGGCCAAATTATAACCTCTCAGAGTTCCCTCCTGTAATATGGCAATAACAACAAAACCTACCTCATAGGATCACAGGGAGATTAAAAGAATTCATATAAAGTTTCTTGGAAAAGTAACTTGCACATAGCAAGCACCATTTAAACCTTAGCTCTTATATGTAATCTTATCATTTTCCCCCTGAAAAGGTTGGCTTAAACATAATTTTCTTAATGAAAGCTTTCTTTAACCCATTTCAGGTTAAATTCCCTCTTTTATGTGCCTTAACACACTGTTCTCCTTCATACCACTTACCACAATTTAAATAAAAAGAATACATAATTATTGTTTCCACTCTAGAATATAAACTCCATGGGGGCAGGGCAGAGGTAAATTTTATGCACTACTATATTAGCATCGCTTTATAAATAGTAAGCATTAAAAAAGAAAAACTTGCAAGATAGATGAAAGGAAGGCAAGGAAGAGGGGAGGAACAGATATTAAAGATACTACATGAGCTTTGAAACCAATTAGAGATAAGGTATAAGGAAGAGGGTGAAATTTAGAGCGACTCCTAGTTCTCTGGTTCCATTAACCAAGTCAGGGAATTCTGGAAGGCACATGGTAGTCAATCAGTAAATATCTATTGAAAGAATAAATAAGGAAATACGATTTTCAGATGGAGTGGGGCACAGAGAGGGGAGGGAAATCATGACTACACTTTTTGATACACTGAGTTTGCAAGAAGATATCTCTAGTTTGAAACATCTGACGGACAAGAGGATATCTGAATACAGAGCTTAAGAGACAGATTCTGGCAATCAATCAATCAAGTTGGCACTTGTTGCTCTATAAGTGGCAGCTGAAGCCTAGGTTCAGAATGGAGGCCACCCCATCAGGAAGAGAACGCAGGATTCAGGAGCAGACGGCCACATCTGCACCCTGAGGACCTCACACTTACAGGACCAGTAAAGGAAGAGGCTCCCAGAGCAGGGAGAAAAGCCACAGCTAGAGAGGGAGGAAAGGGCACAGTGCTGTCAGTGGAGCCAAGGCTGGAGTTTCATAAGGGGGAAGGAGACAACAGTATCAAATCCAGCAGGGAAAGAAAGGAAGAGAAATCCCGACACTCATCCCTCAGTCTGGCCATGAGGCAGCCACTGGGAAGGTGGGGGAGGGTGCGTTCAGTGTGGTGGAGGTGAAAGGGTGAATGGGGGAAGGTTATGCTAAAGAAGGCATGAACTCTGTCAAAACATTGTTATGAAAGGAGAGTAGATGGAGGGTAGAGGGGACACAGAATTGAAAGAGGGGCCTCTCTCCTGAAAGGGAGACAGAAAGGATTCCTGGTCACCCTGGCCACCGCCCACCACACCCCCATAGGCTCCATGCTTCCCCCCGGGGTGCTGGTATGAGTCGGTGACTGACTTCTAGCACCTGGCTTACCCATCTCCCTAAGATGGTAACTTACCAGGATGCATGTCTTATCTAAATCCAGATTCTTGAGTAGAGGCCATGGTTGGGCTTTAGGAAAGCCCTGAACCTCTTGAAATTCAGGCAGAAATTTAAATATATATACACCTGCATTTTCTGAAGAGGATCTGTAACTTTCTCAACATACAACCCTGAAGAACCTCTTATTTAAATCCTCAGTCCCATAGTTCTATTGACTTGCATATCATTACCTCTAAGAATAGAAAAAGGAGCTTACATTGTGGGAACAGTCGCTAAACCTCCCTCCCCTCCTTTCATTTAATAGTAATGCCCTAACGTCTCTTATTGTCTACTCAGCTCCTGTTTAGATCACATCCTACACGACCTGCCCCAAATGCTATGACATGACAGGGACATTCATAATCACTTACTGCCTGGACCAGTCATTTAGGACCTTAGTCACGTATTGCTTTGCACTGCTCCTTAACCGTTTTGTATCTGGAGGGTAGTGTCGCTTCTTGAGATCCTTTTCGTGCTCCTATGCTCCTCTGTGCCCAGCCCAGTGCTTTATTTAGCACTTTTAGATAAGGAGAAAATTAGTGAATAAGAAAAGGGGAAATGGGCTTTCCCTCTCTCTCTAGCCTTCCCTTTATCACATCTGGCCTCCAATCTCCTAGTCCAGACAAAGTGCATGAATTTTTCTGTGCATTTCATGGTACCTCTGTAGCTTTCCTTAGGCATGCTACTTTGGAGAACTCTCCCCAGTTCACTCAGCCAGGAAGAGTACACTCAAGTTTACCCTTTTGCAAGAAAACTTCCCTAAGTCCAGGCTAGCACCATCACACAGACACAAATGGAACAGCTAAGCAAAATGGTCAAATGAATGCATCTTACATAAAAGATGCTTCTTATATCTGGAGGAAACTTCTGCCAGGAAGTGAAAAAGAAGATACTCCTTAGGTCCAGAGACACCTTCCTTTCCTTGCACATGATACCTCAGGCCTGTGCATGCTGGGTCATGACAAGTCTATGCAATACTGATTTTATTGCAATCAGCATAAGGAGATGTGCTGGAGAGATATTACACACTCAGGAAGAAGGCAGGTGAGAGGTGGAGGGCGTCAGGCTCAGCCACAAGGGTCCCTCATATGCTCACCAACCTTCTCTGTGTCCCTCCTGAAGTGTGGCCAGCAAGAGTGAATTCCCCGCCGCCCACCTCCGCCCACAGGGGCCTGTGTCTAAACCCAATTACAGCACCTCTAAAGAAAAAACTATGTAAACATTTACAACCAATTTTTCTAAGATTAGCTTTTCATTATCTTCTATACTTTTATAATATGGGGCAATATGCCATCCTTAATGTTCTTATCTTACTGAATGGAATCATGTATATGGTACCTGTTAGGATAAACATTTTTTTTTTTTAGAATCAAGCAAATTAGTCTAAAACATGATATCATTACCATTAAGTGGTTTATTTTGTATAGTAAAGTAACTATATTATTTTAAGAAAAGCGTAGTAGAGGTGAGTACATTTTTGGATCTTCAGATTCTTTACTTTCATATCACAAGTTTTAAAGTAAATTTATAATATAAAGACAGAGATAAAAGTAACATAATGTTAAGCAAAACTGACCACAAAAATCAAAACCTTAGAACTAAAAAAGGGTAAGGGACAGTGTTTTGATATAAATGTCAATTCATTTTAATCTTTCTGTCTTACTATATGCTACTGTGTTCTTCAACTACCCCAGTGAAGCAGGGTACATCAGGCACTAAGCCACCATTAGTGCTAAACAACAAAAACCTTTGTCATTCTCTGACTCATTCACTGATCAAAATAAGTAAATAAATTTTTATTTAAAACAGAGACATGTCCACATCTGTGTTAGAGATAGGTCCAGATCAATTACTTCAGGTCCATGGTTTCCAGCGTGTAGTCCCTGGAAATCGGCATCAGCTTCAGAGCTTTGAGAAGGGCAAATTATTGGACCCCAGGCCAGACCTCTTCAGTGAGAAACTCTGGGGGTGGGGCCCAGCAATCGGCGCTTTAATAAGCCTTACAGGTGATTCTGATGCCCATTAATGTTTGAGAAACACTACTTTAAATAACATGTGAGGGTTATTTTTTTCTTCCTCATTTATTCAATACTTTGATGCTAACTGCGTATTTGAATACCTTTCATCAAAACCACTGGGAATAGCAAGTAAACTTTAGACCAATAAAAATCCCAGAAGACAAAGAGCAATGCAATGTTCCTAAGAAGCCTGAACCACAGAGGCATCCTGGGTTTTACTAATTCAGTGCCTTGTCTGGAGTCCAAGATGGAGGTGCAATATACCTAAAACCAGACTTTTCCCATCCCTGGTTCATTCTGCCTGAGACACCTGCATCTCTCCCTAATCTCACCATCTAGTCTTGAATCTTTGGGTGAAACCCCTAGGACAATTCACTCCCTGCCCAGTGAGCTAATATATCTCACACATACCTTGAGTGATGCATGCATCACATAAGTAAAAGCTGCCAGTAAGCTCCTTTACAATTATGTTTAATATGTACATATGCATGTACCTGTGGGCATACATACACGATATGGAAAATATGTGAATATATAGCTGTCTCCCCTACAGCCTTGAACTCCTTTAGATGAGGGACTATACCATATTCATTTTGGTTTCCCAAGTGTCTAGCAAATGCCTACACGGGATATGTTTGTAGAATGAATGTCACTATAGTAGTAACATAATTTGCAACTCACTTTCTCAGAGAATAATGAAGAACTAGGCTAAATTCACATGAAACCAATAGGATCACTCAGGCAGACAGAACTTTAGTATTTAAACTGAGCATGGAAAAGTTTCTAAACATAAGGACAGCCTAAAACCATTTGCTAAATACCATTTCAATAACATTAACTAAAGCCTCTTTTAATAATCCTTCTGCAACATTATCAGAAAAGGACATTTCTTTTTGATCCTAGCAAGAGATTACCTAGTGTCTGATGCATGAAGATTAATAATCTTCATAATTTTATTCCAGTAAGTGCAATCGCAGATACTATTTTTTCACTCAGATACTATTTTTTCACTTAAATCAAATGTCTGGAAGTTTTTTGAATCTTAATTTATCTCCAAGAAATTCTATAGTGACTCCTAACCTTTTTTGGAATCACAGTAATCATTTTTGTTGATTATAAATCTCCACCTTTCTAAAATGTACTATAAAGTAAATATTTATTTTTAAACAAAATGGTACGTGTGTTCTCCAACTTAATCAAAGAGTGCAGGAATTCAAAGACACAGCTTTGACACCACAAGTTGCTGATTGCTCCACTGCGATTTCTTTAAAGTTAAGAGGCTTTATCTGTCATTCATTCAAAAAAAGTTATCGAGTGCCTAATAGGTGGCCAGCACAATGTTAAAACTTGATATATAAAAATAATGAATTTCCTAAAATAGTTTTGAAGACCACTAGGTAGCATCTACCACTTTGCTAATTCTTTAAGTTATCAATTCTTTCATTGTCAGGCATCATAAAAGCTCAGAAAGCTGAACTAGTTTTGTACACACATACATATATGTATATATGCACACAAATATACTGCTCCACACATTCTCCCTCCTCTCAGTTGGCATGGCTAGTACCCCAGCCTCCCAAATGTCCAGAGAAAACAGTATAAAATCATGATTCTTTTCCAAAAGTGACCATCAACTACATAATGGATATATTTTAAAGTATAAATGTCAATTAATTCTTAGTGCTTAAATTCAATATATGTTGGGATTTCTCAAAATCTTTCTAAACAATAACATGGCAGTAAAATCCTTAAGTGATTCACCTGATATCCTGGTGTGAAGATTCTGCTTCATGGAGACACCTTCAGGCTGAGAAAGGGACTGGAGAATTGTCAAGGCTGATCTTTGAAGTGCACTATCAAAAATAGTTAGCACTTCATTAGGGAACGCGTTGAAATATTCCCCGATTTCCATGTTGGTCTCAAAAAGGGTCATGGCATTAACCACAAGTGGGTAATGAGCATCTTCATCTCTTTCCTTCAAGATGAGAAGAATATCGTTCTTATGGTATTCCGAAACATATGACTCAAACACTTGACCAACCAGTGAAACTTGATCGCTATTCATCTTGGATCTAGGTAACTAAAGAAAGACAAAGGACTCTATTATACCTTTGATTTTCTAGACTTATACACTAGTTTACAAAAAGATTGGTTATAAATCATTCTGACTTTGGGCCACACTCTAATCTCAAAATACTATCTGAATTCAAATCTTAATTAGATCTGACAGAGTCACAGTCACTTATCAAATTTATTTTTTTCAGTGAGTGAAGTTAATTTTAAGTCAAAGAATTATGTTTGTACTGATAACCGAAATCCAAAATGGTCCAATGCCTTTCCCATATCTTTTCCCCAAACTTCCTCCTCTTAACCCTATAATACGTCATGTAAAAGTCCTTTGCCTTTTCTTTAATCAGATTCCATATATGCGTTTGCTCTCAAGTATAAAATCTTAAATGCCAATCTTTTGGTTTAAGTTACTCCTACTAGAGTTCTTTGCAAACATCCTGGTTCTACATTTTATTCACATAAAAAACGTATCTTTCTCCCTGTCTCCCCACAACCTAGTTACACACACGCACGCACGCACACACACACACACACATTCATTTGTATTCTGCTACTCAAACGGAACACACACTACTATTCAGATTGGTAGCCGATTCTGACTTAAATAGTTAACAAATTGGCTTTAGAAATTTACATTTGGAGGTGAACTTGTTCCTATTTTCTTTTTCTAACCTAGAAAAATTATTGGCTGCAGCAAAAACAGCTGTCAAGATTCTAAAAAAACTAGATCATTAAACTGAGGAAAGGAAATTGGTCTCTAAATAATAAATCACTACAATTGAAAGTAAATACAGTATATTAAATTCCTGGCTATATGTATATATTTTTTAATTTGTACCTACAGATTAAAAGGGCCTACCCCCATTCTATTTTCATGTATACACGTAGATATCTACCATGTACAAGGCACTATTCTGGGAAATGAAAAAAAGCATAATAAAAGGTCCTCTATGCCCTCAAAGAACCAAGGTACAGATCAAATGACACGGTGCTCTAACAGTGGCAAAAATGCAATACAAATAGGAGCACAAAGAAGAGAAGGATTAAATTTAAATGGAGTGACAATCCCAGATGTGACAATGGACAGTTACAAATAAACTGTCCAAATGGATCATTTAAGAAATTCTTATTAGTCAAAGGATAAGTGTCCCCTGACTAATTTCGTTCAACCAACATTTATTGTACTAGGCTTTAGAAACAGAAAGATTAAAGAAGATTATGACATTCACAGTTTAGCATCCTAAATATGTATTACACGTGCTATTAGCAATATTTGCCTTCTCTGGGAATCTACTAGAAGGTGTGTGTGGGGGGGCACGGTATACCACAGTTAGGTCAAGAATCCTGACACCTAGAGGATGCCAATGTGATATTAAGAGATGTGTAGGCCACTATATTGGTAAGTATTTAGTTTGGGTTAGGTAATATAAATTCACCTAAGCATAAAGCAGAAAAAGCACTTGGGAAGGAACAGCTAATTATACAGTATATTCACGATGTTACCGTTGCTAAAAAAAAAAAAAAAAAATCTGGAATCCCAAGAGTGGCTATAAAATAATCTCTAAGATTCTATAAATGCATATTAAATTTGGAGCCACAAATTTAGCAATTTAAAAGGCAGTTCCACATAGGGCAGGAAGGGGACAGCCGCAGAATTCATGGTTCAGATTAAGATCAGATTAAATTTCGCCTAGTCTTTTTGAAATAGCATCACTAAAAAAAATATTCACTTTCAATACCTGGGCACAACTGACTAATCAAATATTTCTTAGCAGTTTGCAAACGCTAGACGCATGCTCACCCAGATTGACTGGTGGCAGTTTTACAACTTTCAAGTTCCGTTTCCTTTTTCTTATGGAACATTTGAAGACAAAATAAATAAAGCCAAGTTGTGCTACCTTATCCTCTTGAGTAAACTGCAAACAAGAAAAATCCGGGAGGATGCATCAGCGGCAATCTAGCTGGCTCCCAAGTGCCAGCCCGCCCCCCGCCGCGCCGCCCCTCCGGGAGCCGCGCCCCTCCGCGTCCCAAGACCCGCCCCACTGGCACCGCCCCTTCCCCGCCCGCCCGCTTCAGGTCGGCGCCTCCTCCATGCCTGGCTCGCCGCGGGCGCTCGGCAAACGTGGAGCCGATTTGTTCCCGGAGAACTGCTTTCCACACTTCCGTCTCTGGACGTAGCCCGTACCCTACAAGAACTCGGCAGGTCTCTCTGACACTTCCCAGGCTCGGCTGCGGGCAGCTCCATCGCCGGCCTGGTCCCAGAGTTGAATAGTTTTGGAACTACCCAGGGTGTGGGCGAGACTTGGGACGCACTATGGAAAAAATAAATAATGGTGCAAAAAGGCAGCGGCTGTCACTTACTGGCGGATACGCGGTGTCAGAAGTCACCGAGGGCGTAGTGCTCCCGAGGCCGCAGTGCTCCCGAGGCCGAGGGGCGCGGAGAGCTCAAGCCGATCGGCGGGGTCCAA